CTAGGGAACAAAATCTACAAAATACAAAAACAGAGGAAATGGGATTTAAACACACGACTGGGAGGTTTACAGGTAGCCAGCTACTCAGCTCATTGAGCTATGCGACCAATCTGGGGAGTAGATGAAACACTAAAGACTGACAACGGGAAGGACAGGATGGCCAGTGGCACCTTCCTGTTCAAACAGGGAGAAGACAAGACAGTCTCACACCAACGGGTGCAGACCCAGACACCTACAGTATATACTTCAGACTTCATATTGCTGCTTCCACCAGCAGTTACATCATCAGTGAAGACATGTGAGCCAGTACCTATGACAGCCCTACATGAGCAGGGCCATAACACCTGCACCACCATGGTCCACGTGGTATACTTTGGATTTTGGGCAATCTTTTTCACCTCTTATGCTTGGTTTAATTGTTTCATTAGTGCAGAAATAAGCGAGCTTTCAGCATCTAGTCCTTACTATAAGTTTTTGATAACTTTCAGAATCTGTTATTGCCATTTGTCAAGAAAAATACAGTAATGTGCGAAAGTATTGGGCAGTCAAAGAAAATTATGTTTTCTTTTTGGGGAAGATGGTGGCACAGGAGGTAGTGCTATCGTTCAGCAACTGGAAGGTTGCAGGTTCAAGCCCTGGTTCTTCCTGACCCCATCAAAGTGTCCTTGAGCAAGACACTGAACCCCAAATTGCTCCTGGTGTGCAGGTTGGCACCTTGAATGGCAGCCTCCGCCACCGGCGTGTGGATGGGTGAATGTGAGGCACAAATTGTGAAGTGCTTTGAGTACTCATAAGAGTAGAAAAGCACTATATAAATGCAGTCCATTTACCATATGTTAAAAACTTCTTCATGTAGGTGTAAGACTATGATATTATGTCTGACGAAGGGTGTGAGCTTAGCAATTGAAAAATCTCTCCTGTAGTTACCCAAGTTGCTGTAGTAGCCATCCAACACACCCATATATTTGTTGACTCAGCCCCTAGCAATCCATGTTTGCCTAATCAACACGTCCTCAAGTGATTTACCTAGTTAAGTTAATTAACTGGGTGACCTGGTGGTGAAATTTAAGAAACACATGGAATAGCTGAGGTGCCGTCTTCTAGTCATCCACCAAGATATCAGTAACGTTTTTGGACACTAGAAAAAAAAATTGTATTACTTTTTATTGTCTTAATGTTCATTTGCATATACAGTATTATCATTTTAAATTGTGTTTTTTGGAGCACTCATTACCCAGATAGACAGCTTTAAACATTTTCTTGGACTACCTTAGACTGTTCCATAGTACTGTACGGAGGACATTATGGAGGACATTATGGAGGACATTACGGAGGACATTACGGAGGACATTACGGAGGACATTACGGAGGACATTAAGTCACTTCAGCATGACACTATCCTCAGCAGGACAGATCACACCTCCCTTATCCAGGCCACAGACTCTGGGAGATGCAGTCCCTGTGGCAGCAGCACCCTCGTGAGCAGATCCTCATAAGATGACCGTATGTCATCAGCTGGCTGCTCTCACTTCGAAGGAGAAACAGCTCTGTTCCAAGGTCCCTCCGCATTTCCAAACTCCTCACCTCATCCTGCAGATAAACTTCATTTGTACCCTTGGGACATAGTTCGCCTTAACGACCCACAGAGCTCTGTCACCTGGAGCTTAGTCTCCTGGCAGCACTTCATCTGGCAAACAAGTCTGTGAGGGAGAATCCAGGCCAGCTACAGTCCAAGAAGTACCCAACTCTGGAGCCAGGATGGAGGTGATGTTTACTTCCAACTATTCAATTAAATTCAGTTTATTTTTATATAGAGCCTTTCACAGCAAAATCTACCCAAGTCGCTTTACATGGGTGTGTTGTGATGCCTTACAACATCATTAAGCTATGTGGAGCCATCAAGTGAGATCATCACCTGCAAGGTGACAGGTTGGGATCAGCTGCAGAGCGGGTTAGGTGGGAAGCAGAGCGCGGCAGTGGACACTGGCTTCATATATACACTCACCTAAAGGATTATTAGGAACACCTGTTCAATTTCTCATTAATGCAATTATCTAATCAACCAATCATATGGCAGTTGCTTCAATGCATTTAGGGGTGTGGTCCTGGTCAAGACAATCTCCTGAACTCCAAACTGAATGTCAGAATGGGAAAGAAAGGT